CTGTTGCTTTCTAGACAGCCTCATCATCACAACCTCCAGCATGTGTGTGTGTGTGTGTGTGTGTGTGTGTGTGTGTGTGTGTGTGTGTAGGAAGGCCTGTACCAAACATCTGTGTGTTCATGTGTGCATATCAGAGTCGATACATGCAAACAAGCATCAATGTTTTGTTTTACCCCACCTGCTAAAAGCACGGTTTCATTACTGTTGATTTGCAAGAGAATTTTTCTTCAAATAATATTTGTCTAGGTGGAGCAGTGGTTCGCGTCTCGGTGGGGGCACCCGGGATCTTTCTGTGTGGAGTCTCCATGTTCTCCCCGTGCAGCGTGGGTTCTCTCCGGGTTCTCCAGCTTCCTCCCACAGTCCACAAACATGCTGAGGTTAATTGGTGATTCTAAATTGTCCGTAGATGTGAATGTGAGTGTGCTTGGTTGTCTGTCTCTAAGTGTAGCCCTGTGATAGACTGGTTACCTGTCCAGGTGAACCTGTCTTCACCCTGAGTCAGCTGGGATAGACTCCAGCCCCCCATGACCCTAGTGAGGATTAAGCGGTGTATAGATAATGGATGGATGGATGGGATGCACAAGTTCTTTTGTTGGACTGCAACTATCATGTCCACAAGTATATTTATAAAGTCTGGTTGACTTAAGTCTCGTATCAGCTCTCCAGCCGCTACACATGGCTAAACATCTGTCTCCAGTCCAGAATTGATATAAGACGGCAAAGTGATGCACATCTCATAGTGCAGCAACAAGTCCCTCAGATCTTCCCCTGCGGTTACATCCACACTAACACATTCTCATTTTAACCTGTGCTCTAAAATGAATCTCGGTCAGGACGAGTGTTTCACAGATTCAGAATGATTGAAATAGAATATAATACAGCAATTTGGTTGGTTGGTTGTTTAGTTGTAAAAGGTTCTATGGAGGACCAGTAATGTGGAACTGTAAAGATCTCCTTAACTGGACTCCTAGCAGAGACAACAAGGTCAACAATTCCTGTAATTTGCTATCAATGGTAGTCATGACTGACGTATTTGTTTTCTTTGGGAAAACAGTCATGTGACAGAAGTGTGGCGAATCAGGGAATGATGCATAGTGACGGCTAAGAAGTAACGAGAACGCAAAAACTGGTCATCGATCTGTTTTTGCCTGTTCAGACAAAGATGCTTTCGCAACTAAAAAGGGGTCAGAAGTGTTTCCAAATGTCTCCATTTCAAGGGTCATAACACCCAGAATAGTGTTGACGTAGATTAGATTATATAGAACTTTATTGATCCCTTTGGTAGGGTACCTCAGAAATTGTTGACTTGAGGCCTAAACACAGCAGAAGCCATGCATTTTAAAATCAAAGTGTGTTAGCGTGGATGTTACCAACAACTGACAAGCCAAACATCTCTCACCTAAAGTTAGCTCCACACTTCTGTCACCCTTCAACCCCACAATGCTGTCGACCCAAAATGCATCTGGTGTTAGAATGCAGGGACTATTTCAGGCTCTGTATGCCAGCCAGTGTTTATTTATACCCCTGAGACTCAGTGCCATGGTATGAGGTGTGTGTCTGAACTGAGAAAGTGACTACTTACGGTAGAAATTAAACCAGCTAATTCGCATTCCAGCCTGGGCCAAAAAGCTCAGGATCTATAACGGGGTGGAAGTTCAAATAAAAGGGTTACAGGCTGCATGATGTGAGCTCACTCACATGCATTCAGAGAGAGGAGATAATGTAAACCGTGACGGAGCCTAGGGCAGGTCTACAGGAAGTCGGGCCCTCTCACTAGAACAATGGGCTGAGGGAAATAAGGCCACAGTGCCACACAAAGAGCAGGGAGGAGGGAAATCACAGCCTAAAAACAGCAAATGCATGGAACGCTGCCTAATGTGGGTCACTGCAATCATGGCTGCCTCCAACTCAGGGTCCAAGACTATGTGGGGGTGCTGAGATGCTGTCTGTGCTTAAAAAAGGAGGGTGCACCAAGAGGCACCATGTTGACATCAATCATAGCAGCACTACTGTTGTGTGGACGACGGCGCATGAGGGGGAGGACAGCAACAGGCCTGATCAGAATTGTAAATGATTTCTAATGAAGTGCAAAAGAGTAGCGGCGAGCTGAGGCAGGCGCTAAAGAAAGGGGGGTGGGCAGCTTTGGGGACAAATGAAGAGGAGTGAAGTGTAATTCTGTGTAAGACTTGATTTACATTTGCTTCAGGCAACAACCTGCATGTAAGGACAGAAACTCACAGCTAGCTTGTTCTTCAGCATTTGCTAACATGCATGTATGACGGGCACTTTGGTCCTCGTGTGTTCCTGCTGACGATGGCGTGCTTCAAGTGAAAGCACATGAAGTGGCAGCAGACTTTCAGCCCAGCCAGTTGATGTTAGTACTACACAAAAGCTCCATCATACAGGCTGCTGTGCTGCACTGGACACGTCAGCGTCCATCAATCTGCAGTAATGTGCCTTCAGATGGCAATCTTGGTTCAAATAAGGACAGAGACAGATGTTCTGAGCTGCACTGAGGCTGAAACCTGCTTATCTGAGCTGCACAGGTTTCATTCAGAAACATCTCAATGGCCTTTCTACGTGTATGGATTCTCAATAAATATTCTGAGAAGAGCTGAATCAATCAATGTGCTCTCTTAAGGTGCACGTCCATGTGGTGTTAAAGTCAGCCAAAGGGGAATTACAACAACTGGATAGAACAATGAACAATCCAAAACCAAAGAAACTGAATCAAATTTGAATCAATAAGAATGAACACTTATCATCTGCATCATCTGATCAATGCTTATCTGCCTAAAACATTCTACACTAGACAGCTAGCTCAAAACTTTTAATGATATGCAGTCTATTATCTAGAATATCCTTGCCAGAAAAAAAAGACAAACGTTCAAGAAAAACAACTGTGATGTTACTGTATGTTCACACGAGCTGCAGCAGACACTCTGAGGTAAACAAAACAATCAAGCTGCTGAGCAGAACTGCAGATCAGAAGCAGTTCATCCTGTCTGGAGAAAGCAGCCTTCAGCTTCCTTCAAGATCACCGACTACAAATGATCTCATCAACTAAAACTACACTGACATCACCAAATGCCCTCCTAACCCGACAGTCACTGTATGTAATGTGGGTCATTTAGATACTTTAATCACTACTATCAATCAATCAATCAAACTTTATTTATACGGCACTTCTCACACAACAGAGCAACGCAAAGTGCTTTACAGCATTTAAAAGCATTGTGAAAGAAAAAAAACAAGAATACTACTCAACTATATCCTACTAAAGTCAAATCCTGTCTGCAGCTACATCACAGCTTTGTTCTCATCAAATAAAGTTAGCTGTTTAATCAGAGTGATGATGCACAATTATCGTTGCCACTGCTGGTGGTCACATCTCCATTGTGAGGATGTACTGGTTTTATGAGCCTTCTAATCTTGGCAGATTAAATGGAAATGAAAATAGCTGTTAGCTGTGGTCCATCGCTGACTGTGAACTTGTCCCACAGACAAACAATGCTTAAATATGCACCAGATGCTCAGCAAGCTGGGGTGATTGGTGCTACAGAGCAGACAGCGGGGCATATGGAGTCAGTATGGTCGAGGCTGAGCGGTGTCACCTCAGAGACTGTCGACAGCCTGAGGGCAACACACACACACACACACACACACACACACACACACACACACACACACACACACACACACACACACACAGAACAGAGCGGCGTTTTCCATGTGCACTAGATAGCATAACAACAACTACCTGTCTGTCTTGTCCACAGCTGTCTGTATGATCAGGATTTAACTCTGAGCCCAAACATAAACCGGGTCTTAACACTAACAGCCTTTAAGCCATTTTGCCATAAGGTCCACTGGTCTACAGCTTGATCTGGTCCTCATCACAACAAATGGAGAAGTACACTCATAATAACCAACACTTTCTACAACTTATTAAGTAAACAATAAACTGTTTCCAAATCACTTGGTGTGATTCAGGAGCAAAAAAATATGCCAACATCACCTATTTGCAGCACACGCATGACTTTACAATGCTGAACTTTGGCACCGAGACTCCACAAGGTCCAGATGTGACTGTGATGCAACACCTCAGCAGGCACAGCAAGCGGCCATCTGTGCTGCTAGGAGCACATCCAGGAGGTAGAGCCCCTCAAAAAGCACCTCTGACTCTGCATTAATACAACCTGAGCAGTCAGTGAACGTGTCCGGTGACAGAATCAACACAGGTCAGCTGACTGGTGCCATCAGAGAGGAGACGCTGGCTTTGCTTCGAGCATCAAGGAGGATGACGAAGTTCTGACACAACTACAATCTTTTATCTAATGTTTGGTATTAAATTAGGTATGATTCATTTTAAAAAATTGTCTGCTCTACACATGTAGCAGCCTTAAACCGAACTCTGCTTTTGCCCTTTTTACCAATTAGATTCAAACTATACACAAAAACATCCAATAAGGAACTGGCAAAGTCTGACATCAGGGGGGCTGTATGCAAAGACAATGACATATAATGGCTGTAAATGATCCAGAACATGGCTGAGGTTTCTCCAAGATGCTGCATGTGTGCGCCTGCGACAAACTGGGACTTACTTGGAGAACTCAGGGACTGAAACCTGCAGTAGTTTCAGAAAGGTTCTGAGGAGCACAGCACAGGAAGCTTAAACCAGATCAGAGCATTTAGATCTGTGATCTACATCCATCTCCATGAGAGGACACTGGTTCACACTACCAATGCTGCTGCTACTTTCATGTAGTGCTTATTCCCGACTTTACATAACTTTGTAAAGCAAACCTGACTCCTTTGTTTTTAGTTAACAGTGTGTGTGTAGCATTTATGAACACAGAGGTCAGTCTAAGTTGTGCTGTTGTTGTGAATGATGTCAGCCTGCTGGAGGAGCTTCAGTCAACAACACGACATGTGTTCAGCTACTGCGCTGCTTCTCCCTCAAAACACTTTCATACAAACAAAGCAAAAACGGCACATACCTGCTAACTCGTCTGGTTCTAGTCCCGTTTCTGTGTCTATCCCACAAATAGCAAAGTAGTGGGCGAAGCGGCAGGGCGCCGCGCCGGACACCGCGGAGCTCCCACTCATCCCGGCTTCGGTGTGCAGCGCGGTCCGCTCCTAGTTCTCCGAGCGACACATCTCCGGGGAAGAACAAAAACAAAAAGGGAGGGGGGGCTGGATAAAATGCTTAAATCGGCGATGTAGCTCGTCTTCTTCTATTTTAACTGTAAATAAAGCATTCACGATACCGCCGAAGTTGCACTGGGAAGCGGTTCCAGCGCTAGTTAGCTGTGAGCGGACCGTCGCGGCGGAGCTCCCCGACACACTGGGCACACAGAGCCGCGAGTCTCCGCCTCGGTGCAGCTCCGAGGAGTCACTGACTGGGCGGGATTTTCAAACGTAGTTCTCCAATTCGTTTCTTCAGAGTCAGACACAGAGCCGCATGTGTTTCTTTTTCTTTCTTTCTTTTTAAAAAAAAACTGTAATTAAAAGCGCCTCTGACCGTCCTCCCGCAGACCGGAGCACTCCGTTAACCACGCTGGACCCTCGTTCGGCCGACAGACGCACCTGTGGCTGCAGATCAATGCGCCGACATCCCGCTGCCTCACGTCCACCGCAGGACTGTATCGCTTTGCGGAGGAATACAGTCATGACGGAACGGCCTGGAGCAGCCGATGATGCTCGGTGGTAAGAAAAGAGACACTCCGATGAGGACTACATCTAATTAATCATATGCATATTAATATAATTTGAAATATTGCTCTCTGAGTGTGCAACAGCAATCTCAGCATTGTGTGTTTCAAAGGTGTAATTGTAATAATACTTTTCTATTCTGGTTTTATTTTAGCTTTCTTATTTTTATATGTTAGTAATATATTGCACTTATATCTTCTGTTAGACATTGCATTTATTGTCATGTCACTGTAGTTATATATTTTTCTTTTTTTCCACATTTTGCAGGATAGTTTAATTTAATGTGCACTATTTCATTAGCATGTGCAACACTACTTCACCACTCCACCATCATTGCCAGTATTACTGGTTGCTTTTCTATTCTAGCTTTACTTTAGCGTACCTTTTTTATTGTTTTATAATCTAATCTGATCTTATTTCTTATCATATCCTAAATAAGAACTTCAAAGTAAATAAAAAATTTATATAAGAATGTAAAAACCATAACAGATGCTGTTCAAACATTATTGGAAATGTTTTAGCCTTTTATTATTTCATTTTAAGTATGATAGACATAAGTTGAGTCCAGGACCAAACGTGTGTGCTACGATGCCATGCATGAAAAACACATAATATCACAGAATTCTGCTGCATGTTCTAAAGTATTATATTGTAAAAGTAGTTTATTGACAACTCTGGCCAATTTATCTGTAAATGAGAGAGCAAAAAGAAAGAGAAGACTGACTGTGCATCGTGTTGGCAAATGTTTCTGCCCACCTTTCACCTGCGACAGACTGGAGAGCCACAATCAGCTGCCTCAAATTGGATAACGCTACAACAACTGACAATTCACTGACTGGATGATCATCAACACAACAAAGTGGTCCCTACGACTGTGCTGCTCCGGCTGAAGCGTTCCACACCAGCCACCAGTTTACCAAACTCTGATAGAAACACAAGACAATACCGTGTCCTCTGTACAGATCGCTGTTGCAAGTTGTTACCATAAACGTATATATCTTTCTGTGCGCTATTTGCTTTATTTATTTCATGTAGATGCATTTCATCTAAGCTTTGTACACTTTAAACAATCCAACAGCTTAGAGTCCACTCCCTGTGTGTCCAGATACATGACCCGTCTGCTGGTGAGAGTCTCAGACTCACCTCAAAGACATGTGGTCCTTTGAACTTATATTCTAGTGAAGATGTGCACGTATTTCCTTTAATTCTCCTTTTGCCATGTTGCTGTGAAACCAAAATCCCTCGTTGTTTCAAGTCTCCCTCTGATCAGTGATTAAACCGATAAAAACTGAAACTCTTCACCATCGTTTACTCTGAAATGAGCAGATCAATCACATCCCTGTTGCTTTCTCCACCCACTTCTTCCCACTCACTGCAGCTGGAGCACACCGGCTCACCCACAACTCTCCTCAGTCTCTGTGAAACAGAGTGTAATATTGCTGGACACTGATTCGGAATAATAATGAGAGAGAAAGCCCTCACCCTGACAGCATTGGTTCTTCATGTTTGTCACATATGAAATTTCTAAAGTCTGAATCCGTGTTTTTGAGACTGTTCTCAGCTTATGTCACTGATGATGTTTCTTCAAGCATGTAAAACACCATATGTACATTTTAATCAGGTAAAAAAGCGAGAGTCTTCAACCTAAAAGAATATCTGTCATTTAGACCTTTGGACCGATGCATTTAATCCTTGAGGAGCCACAGTTTTCCTTTTAGGATTGGGCTTCAATACTGTTTAGTACATGCTATATTGTTTTTATCCTTATAACCAAACTCTAATTTCTATTAATATACATTAATTAATCACAAATCTGGGGCAAGTTCTACAAAAGAAATACTGAGGACTTTTTAAAGTACAAATTCAGGATGATTTTTCCTCCTCTCCTATTCAACTGGAATATCTTTAATGAAATGTACCTCCAGCCAAACTGGCCATTAATGACCACTGTGTTGCACATCCGATGGATTGCTTCCATAATGATTTCAGTGTTGATGTGTGGTTTGAGTGACCTTTGCAGTCTTTCTGCATGACGGTTCTCAGGAGATGTAGTAAACTTTAAAGATATTAAAAAACAGAAAAGAAAAAAAAAGGTGAGCCTACAGTCTCTGGTATCCTTTATTCTATTGTTTCATTTGTCCATGATAAACATTACTGTCTGTGAACACAACTCATACTTCACAGAGCCATCATTTTGCTGTTGCCAGTCGAACATGTAACGGCAGTGACAGTGGAAATACATCTACTGCTGTTCTACATTTAATGACAGAATCTGACGGCGGACAAATTGTGATTTCCAAACGGCAGCGATGTGCACCGTTCAAAAAAAAAAAAAAAAAAGCATGTCAGTGCAATATAAGACAATGGCTCCCTCTAGTGGTCAAACACAAGTACAAACAAGTGACACAACAAATGCAGGCATACTTTCAGACACCACTTTGGAGGCTGGAAAAACAGAGTAAACTGTTAACTTGCCTGTTGTACACATTGAATTAATTTTCTTATTAGAATAGATGTGTCGCGCTAAACTCTTCAACTGGTGCCATACATGTAAGAGTACATGTATATTATCAGTGAGGTGTGGTGAGGTTCATGGCTGCTGAGGCTCTGACTTCATCACAATCTGATCTACAAATATATGCACTGTACAGAGGAGCTTATTGGTCATTTGATTGGCAGCAGTTTACGGGTTATGTTTCATATCTGCATTCTTTACACATACAAACTATAGCCCACAAAACGCATCTTTCTTTCTTTCTTTTATTTTTCCTTGAAGTTATTGCGATCTTACCTTTACATGAAGTCCATGCTCCGCTCCTTCTGGACTGGTCTCTGGATCTGTTACTTTTTTGTCGTAGTCTCCTGATCTTCCTTCGCTGCACTTAACCTGCTAACTGTATATCATAGTCCAGTTTGCTGTCACTGACTCTGCAGCCGCGGAGTCACCAGAAGCATGTCTGGGGTCAGAGCGCCCCCTGCCATGAGGCCAGAGAACTGCCTGCCTCACCTGGAACCTCTTCTCAGCCGTTTGTGATGCTCAGCACACGGAACACGTTACACACATACAGTTGGTAACAAAAACACTGTACATTATGATATACATCAGCTGAACTATGGAAAGTCAGTTCCAATATTAAATGTGTTTGAAACATGTTATTGGCGACATCCAGACAGCAGCACGTTGACACTGCAGGCAGCCAGCGCAGTGAGGGATTGCGCAATCCAAGTCAGGCTCAGCTCACCGCGGCTTCTCTTCCAAGCACTTGAATGGGAAACTCATACACTGTATAAAAGATGGACGTAGCAACCAGCCCTGAAAAATGAAGCCAACCCGGAAGTGTCAAAAACCTGCAATATCACTACGTCCACTAGCTGCTGCCTCCAAAAAGCCCTGGCTCCCATAGACTGGAACTGGAAAAGAAGTGATCACAGATCACGAAATACCGCATTCCTACAGCTCAGGATTTTTTTAAAAAAAAAACTAGTTTTCATGGTCAAATCCAGAGATCAGGTGGCCAATCTGAAAATAAATCATTACTGAATTTTTTAAAAATCGTCAACATTTTGCGGGGCAAGGGGCGTGGCTGGCTTGATTGACAGTCGGCAGATACGATGCACATGAAGCAGCAGAAGGCGGTAAATGTGGGCGGGGCAGAGAGGGCCCACCTCTGCTCCTATGGCTCCGCCCCCCTCTGACGACTTTTGCGTCACTGGCTCCAAAAATCCAAGATGTCAACCAGGAAGTAGCAAAACCCTGGCTTCATTTTCTCAGTGCAGAAACCAACGGGTGACGCCACGGCAGCTACGTCCATCTTTTATACAGTCTATGGGGAAACTGCAAAAATTCAGCGATTTTCAATTTAAAAATCATCAAAACTGACGAGGCTAAATGAAAAAATAAACACTTTATAGCACAAATCACTGGATAAATATAACCATTTAAATGATTTTATCATTACAGATTTTTTTTCTCTCCGTGATGCCCTGACTGCATATCACTGGTATATTTATAGCAACAGCTGAAGAGTTCACTTTTAAGCATCTCTTCCAAAAAGAGTCTAAATTAATAAGTAAGGTGATAGTTTACTCTGTTTGTTGTCCCAAAACATATTTGAACTTAAGATGAGGAAAATTATATATAAAAATACAAATAAGATATACCAAAAGTTTCAAGTTTGAACAGTCAGAGCAAAACCACTTTAATACATGAGGTAGTTGGTAAAAAAGATTAACATTAAAAAATGTAACATACAATATCACAGATAGTGTAACGACATTTCATTCAAATGAACATATTTACACACAACATTAAAAATACAGAATATTAGAATACAGGCAAATACAAGCATCGTCTGTTACTGTGTTACACACAAATGCTTTGGAAAATCAAAGACAAAACCAAACATAACAGTAAGTGCCGTTTCACTGAGTTCTCAATTTTTTTTCCCAGTGACGGGGCTTTGGAAAGGATCCATACTTCTTATCCTGCCCGCAGGAGCCTACAGTGAAAAAAAAACAAAAAGACAAAAATGAGAAAATCTGGTCAATGGACTGTTAAACTGTTATTATGAAAGTTAGGAAAATGTTGTCACCTTTCGTGGACCACATCCCTTGATTACTTCCTCCATTTGTAACCCTTCCCCACACGGTGGTCTGCTATTAAAATGAGGTTCAGGAACATGCATTCAGATTAGACACTAAAAAGTTACTTTTCATGTGACTGAATTTATTTATTACAGAAAAATTGAGAAACATTTCAGATACTTAAAAAGAACACACTTTGTTCACTTGAGGAATCCCGATTCCTGGCCTTTGTCCACTCTCTGGCTTCATCCATGGTTTTCTTCATCAAGGGGGTTGCAGATTCCTGGGTGCTGTTCCTCCGTCTGGGTGCCCTGCGACGCTGACTTCGTCCAGGTTTCGCTTCCTTCAGCAAATCAGGATTGTTCGTGGATCTTAAGCCCTCCTCTGTCCCCACGCTAGTTTTTTTGTCCTTTCTGGTGGAGAAATAACTGTCCCGCCACTTATTGGTCACGAGTGTCATTGCTGAAGGGCCCGTTGTGGGAGAGTAGGGATTAGTGAATGTTGAGGGCATGTCATAGGAACGTGGCCGCTGTAGTTTGGATAAAGAAAAACGTTTTCGGGGATGAGAGGAGCTCTCCTTAGATTTAGACGCTGGTGTTACATGGTTCGTATCATTTCCAGGTGTTGGTTTGGAAAAACAGGTTCCTTGTCTGTCTTTATGCAAAGGCTGTGTCTTTGTTTTACAGGAGTCTACATTTTTGCTGGTTGATGTGGGTTTCTTTGGAGTCTCATCTTCATCCCGCCCGTGGGCTTTATAATTTTTAAGTTTCAAGTGTTCACTGCATTGAGGAAAATTGTCAAACGAAAGGCGGGCAACCACAGGATTGCTACCCAAAGTGGAGTCTTCATCCCTGTCCCTCCCTGACTGGGGCGGCTTCTTGGATGAGTCTTTGGCTGACTGAACAGTTTTTTGAGGCTTGTTGTTGACATAAGGACTTCTCTGTGCATTACCAAAGGTCAAATCACTGTCCTCTGCTTCTGATGATGGCGTTCTTCTCTTCGTTTTCGCCTTCTTTTTGAGGGTATGGTCTTTTGTCACCACTTGGTCAGACTCATGGAAACATTTTGATGTCATTCGTGTGTTGGTCTTTTGATGAACATGCATAGAGCCAGTTCTAGCTTCAGACAGCTCTCTCCTCTTTACACTGTTTGACAGGTCAAAGGATGCGTCCTGCATCTCTTTCTCTGAAAGTGTATCTTGACGTTCAGAACCGTGCTGTGGCTTAGATGAGTCTGTACACGGTCTGCGTTCTTGGAGTTTTTCTTCAGCAGTTTCATATTCAGTGTCCACGGGAGTCCTCTCTTGTGTAACACATGCATCATCACCAGCGCCCGCCCACTCTAAAGAGAATTCCTTCTTCCTCTTTGCCTTTTTGTAGTTTTGGCTATGGTCATCGTCTGTGTCAGAGTCAATAACTATTACACTTTCAGCATCTGAAACATTTTGTGGCAGGACCGCATGTTGAACATGCTTGGATCTGACTATGTTTTCTGTCCTTTTTGAGGAGTGTGCAGCTGGAAATCTTCTTTTTAACAAGTTTTCTTCAGCACTTTCACATACACTAGCCACAGTGTCAGGGGAATGTCTCTTTGGTGGGCTGCATGGGACAGCAGCACTGACCGCCTTCTGTAAAGAGGATATTCTTCTTCTTTTTGCTTTATTCGTGCTGTTTTGATCACATTCATCCTCTGAGTCAGAAGTGAGGATTCCTGTGTCTTCCTTTTTATGAGTGCTTTGTCTGCTCCTGATTTGATCATTTTGCAAATTTGTCACCTCATCAATTACATCCTCTTTTTCAGACTCAGAGTCATCTGTCTCTGAAGATGCAGATGCTGACAGGTGGTTCAACAACTTCCTAGACACTGTTAAATGGTTGCGTTCCTCCACAGGTGAGTAATTACAACTGTCATCTGTTTCACAGCTGTCTTCAGGCTCCGAGTACCAATCTTTTCTGCTGTGATGTGGCTTTGGGTCTCTCTCAGGAAAGCTCTCTTCTGACAGAAATTGTGGAAATATCCCAAACTGGAGAGCTTTCGCTCGTTGAAAGCTTTCACACGTGTCAAAGATCTCAATCTGGGAAAAAGCAGAAGGTGGGACCTGGACTGGAGGTGGCCGGCGGAGCTCACAAAGTGTCGGGCTTGAGCCACCTTGTGGTACTTTGTCTCCATGTTCATCCACATCCAGCAGAGCTTCTTCTGGATCAGCCCCATCTTCTGGTAATACGAGTTTAAGCTCTGATATGACTAAAGGTATGACGTCCCAGTCATCGTCCATCTCATCATCAGTCTCATCTTCATCTTTCAAATCAGAGGAAGGACTATATGAGCAGTTTATCTGCCATCCAGCCTGTCTTGCATAGTCACATTTAGCACTGGTCACACATTCAATGTCATCATCTGTTTCACCGAAATGTGGAAAAGAGCAATGTTGTGCTACATGAGGTGTTTGTGACTTTGGTGTCATCTGCTTCATTGCAATCAGTTTCTCATCTAAAATTGACTTCACCTGGACCTGCACATGTCCATACTGCTTAACGCTGGGTTCAGAAACATCAGGTGGAGATGAAGGCATCTCCACATCTGTATTCTGAATCGGTGGATTTTCATCTTCACTTATATCTTCATACACTGGGTCTTCTAAACGTAATGAAAAATGTAAATCCTCATGCTCTGGAAGTTTCGTGTCCAGCTCTGACATGTCTTCTGCATCTGAGATATCTTCATATTGTTGTTCTTTTAAAATGGTCACAGAAGGGGTGTCTGTACCTAGTCTTCCAGGAAGAGGGTGAAGTATTGCATCACTGCTGCTACAACTTGTTTGGTGGTTCACAGATTGTTCACTTTGGTTTGTAGAGACTGACTGTGCGTCATATGTCTGAATTTTTTCAACTGATGAATTTAGCTTGGAATGTGCAGCTGCTTCCCCACAGGTATCAGGGCAGTGTTGTTGATTTCCAATGTTTTTCTGTTTGTTTAAATTTTCATCTTGATCTCCAATGAGTCTTGGAGTCCATGAATCTTTGGGGTCATGTATCACACCTTGCATGTTGACCTCCACTGGTTTTAGGCCTTTACCTCCTCGTGCCTTGTGTGTCATGTGTATCAGAGGTGAGGAAACCGAAGGCAGTCCAACACCCTTGTCAGCGTTTATCCAAACAGACTTGTATTCTTCTTGTGATGAGCTGCAGCCGAGTATTGAACCATTCTTAGTCAGTTCATCCTGGCTAGTTCTTGACATCGCAGTGAGAACCACTGGACTTCCTTCTTCAGTCTTTGTGCAAGTGACAGCAGCTTCATTCATTATCTTTGGGTATTCTGTGGATGTAAAGAGACGAACGTTACCTATATCTCCATTCCAATACTGTTGCAGCATGACTTCAGACAAGTTGTCGATCTTTGCAAAACGCTCTACATTTTCCAGACTAGCAATCAGCTCCTTCAGTGCAGTTAAAGAATAGTGAAGAGTGGCTTCTCCATTCAGAACATACTTATCACACCATTTACTCTGGAAACTTTCATCACTACTACTGACAAATGTTTTATCTTCAGAGTCATCAGAACAGAAAAGTTTGCCTTCATCATTTATATTCAAGTGTTTTTTGACTGGCAAATCAAAATCTGCATGTTTTGCATTTTCTGCATCAGACATGAGTGTACCTGCTGAAAGTCTCTCTGATGCTGATGTTTCATGTTCATCTTTAGACTTGGGAGTTAACTCAGCATTTGCTTCGCTGTTCTTGGAGCTGTCCTCTTCAACTGCTTGTCCAGATGCAGTCGCACAGTGCTCAATCACAGCGCAGCTAAGACGTTGCTTCTCCACATCTTCATTGTCACACGTAGAGGATGTGAGGTGATAGGTCACAGTGCTAGACTTTGGAATGTTGCTGTGAGACTGGAGTGGTGAGTCACTGTCATTAGGGCAGTCCTTACTGGCGAAAGCAGCAACCTTCTGTTTAACAAATTCACATATTTCATAATCTGTATATAATTTGGGTGCTCCAACTGCCAACACTATTTCTGTGGATAGCTGACCGCTTGGCCCAGTGCTATTGCTCAACGTTGAACTGTTTCGCAAATGTTCACCTAAACAGTGCTTGGAAGAGTACCTTTGTTGTCCACTACTGTCAGCATATTGTCTTATGGGGTTGGCATTTGCAAATATTCCAAAATTCTTGCCGACCTGAAAATGTTGTGATTGTCCATGGCCTTGCTTACACCGAGCTGGACCGTAAGCCACTTTGAGCTCCCCAGGAGACTGAGCAGCAACTATGCTGATTTGCATTCCACTTGGCAGGTGATCTGCTGGCAAAGGTCGAACGCTGTTGTCCTGAGATGCGGGAACATAGGCTCCTCCTGCCGGGTTGTAGGAATATCCAGTTTGCATCGCATGGAGAGCAATCTTTCAAGTGATGACTCGAATTAGGCGCTTCACTTGTCTGGGAATCAAATAAAAAGGAAAATTAGTGGATGGGTAGTTCGACATTGAGTACGTGATACAAAAACAACAGAGCAAAAACATCACATATGTCTCTTTCCACTGGTTTTGCTTTTGTCTCTGCTGGACCCATCCTGCTCAGGGAGTGAGCTCCTGAAGTTAAACTTGGGCACCGGCCAGAAAGTTTTACAAAATCCAAGTTCCAGGCACTCTCTGCGACATCAAGGTAGCATTATCAATCTATGCCATTCCACAGACTTAGTCTTTTTTCCATAACCACCTCAACTTGTATATCTTACTAATTGAAATAATGGCTATACAGACTGGGGTGGTACATTCTATGTTTACTGGATATTGCTGCAGGCTGTTTACTGTTGAAGGCTACAAGACAAACCCAGCTCTGTAGTGCTGCTTAACAACATGGGAGTTACATTCCTTTCAGACAGGACATGAGGTGTGCCGCACTGGCAGCTGGATTCAATGCAACACATGGACAGAATTGCAGGGGACTGAGCAAAGTAGGGAAAGTTTTCCAAACTGCTAGCAAGTCAAAGTTAGCTCCTATTTATGACATGGTCAGATACCACGTCTTTAGAACTAGCCCTAAGAAACCACGGACCTCCTGTGTCTAGAGGTCCGTTTTACAAAGCAGGTTCAACAAACTCTGAGTCTAATCCTGAACTCTGAGTTGATCTGCTCGGAGATAGGAAACTCTGAGTTTCTGGTTCCAGAACAGCGGATTTGAGTTAGTTAAATTAACTCGGAGTAGTTTCACCTGGAGTTAAGCGCGTGCACCACAACTATAAAAAGCCAGCATCAATGGAGCCCTGATTTGACAGTCACTATGGCAACGGGGAAGCGGAGGGCTGCGTATTTCACCCACTGGAACTGGAGATCTTAATGCGCTCATACGGTGAGTTTGAACGCGTGTTTAAAAAGAAGTGCAACACTGCTGCAGCTGCAACACAGAGGGAGACGCCATGGAGAACACTGCTGCTCGGGTCAACACGTAAGTTTAAATGTCGTCCTATGCAATCACAATGATATTACAGGAAAACTGCTTGAATGGTAGCCGTTAATTCATTTCATTTAGGTGTAATCCTGCGGGGGGAGAAGCGCACTGGGCAGCAGCTTAAGATTAAATGTAAAAACACTGTTCAAGTCTGAGGTTGCAGCACAATGTCATTAACAGAATATGATTTAAAATGAACTAAACAGATCTCTACATCATTGACCTGCAATCCTGTGGAACTCCTCCTTGATGGCTCTGACAGGTGAGCCATCACACTGCCCCAGCTCGCTTGCCTTCTTCCAATACTGCATCCTGTCACTGTTTCACAGATAAATGATGCACACACATACACTGACCAGTCCACATGATATGAAAGACTTTACTCATCAGACCAGGCCACCTGCTTACAAGTACTGCCCTCAGCACCCCAGTTTTGACACTCATATGCCCACTGTAGGCACTTTCAGCTGTGAACAGGAGTCAGCACGGGCACTAACCAGTATGTAGCTGGGTAGATAGTTGCGATGCACTGGGTTCTGACACCTCACTATTGGAGCCGCTGGTAAGGATTCTGGTTTTTGGGCTATAGTAGTTCTTTTGTACCATACTGGACCACAAAGGCTAGTTTTCGCTTGGCCAGTGCTTCAGTGAGTCTCGGAGCCCCATGACCCAGTCACTGGTTCAACAGTTGCCCTTCCTTGGACCACTTTTGATAGGTACTAACCACTGCATTACCGGTAAACCCCAACAAGAACTGCCATTTTGGAGTTGCTCTGACCAGTCATCTAGCCATCACAAGTTGGCTCAACAAAAGCCGCTCACGTGTTTATGCTATCCCCCCCTTCTACAGTTTATAGCAGTGATTCTCAAATAAGGGTCTGTGGCATGCTAAATATACATATATATATATATATATATACACACAGACCCTTTCCAAAAAATTAGAATATCATGGAAAAGTTGTTCAATTTCCATAATTCCATTCAAAAAGTTAAACTTTCATAGATTATAGATTCAGGGCCCACAATTTAAACAATTTCAAGTATTTATTTGTAAATTTTTTACACAATTTGGGCTTCCAGCTCATAAAACCCACAAAAACAGGAATTCAAAAAATTAGAATACTGTGAAGAAATCACCATTTACGTCTCAGTTTTTGCAGAAAATAATAGGATCACATCAAATCAATCAAAATAAGGTACTTTCAAAATGATATGCCAATCTTCAATAGTTGGTTGGGAATCCCTTTGCCTTAATCACTGCCTCGATGCGCCGTGACATTGAGGCAATCAGCCTGTGGCATTGCCTGATACTTATGGAAGCCCAGATTTCCGTGATGCTTGCTGTAAGCTCTTCTTTGTTTTTGGGTCTGGTGCCCCTCACTTTCCTCTTGATAATACCCCATAGATTCTCAATGGGGTTTAGGTCCGGCGAGTTGGCTGGCCAGTCAAGCACTGTGATGGCATGGGCATCAAACCAGGTTTGGTGCTTCTGGCGGGATGGGCAGGGGCCAGGCCCTGCTGGAAGATGAAATCTGCATCTCTATACAGATCCTCAGCAGAAGGAATCATGAAGTCCTCTAAAACATTCTGGTAGACTATTGCGATGACCTTGGACTTAAGAAAGCAGAGTTGACCAACACCTGCACCAGACATTGCACCCCAAATCATGACTGACTGTGGATATTTCACACTGGACCTCAAGCAGCTTGGGTTCTGTTCCTCACCCATCTTCCTCCGAACCCTTGGACCTTGATTCCTGAATGAAAGGCACACTTAACTTTCATCGGAAAAGAGGACCTTGGACCACTGGCCAACAGTCCAGTCCTTCTTCTCCTTGGCCCAGTTGAGATGCTTCCTACGTTGGCTCAGGATCAGAAGTGGCTTGACCGGAGGAACCCAACAGTTGTAGCCCATCTCCCGGATGCGTCTGAATGTGGTGGTTTTTGAAGCTGTGACTCTTGCCTCATTCCACTCTTTCTGGATCTCTTCCAGATTCTTGAATCTTGTCTGTTTGATAATGCGCTGAAGCCCACGGTCATCTCTTTTGCTGGTGCATCTTCTTCTGCCACATTTTGCCCTTCCACTAGACTTTCCATTGATATGCTTGGACACAGCACTCTGTGAACAGCCAGCCTGCTTAGCTATGAACATTTGTGGCTTACCAATCCTATAGAGGGTATCAGTGATGGTCTTCTGGCCAGTTGTCAAGTCTGCAGTCTTCCCCATATTGAACCGAACTGAAACAATTGAACCAAATTGAAGCAATTTAATGACACCTGGGGAAACCTGTGCAGGTGCTTTGAGTTTAGTAGATGATTAGTGTGTGACACTCAGTTTAAAACATTCATGCCCTACAAAATTTGGGCTGATTTCTTCACAGTATTCTAATTTTTTGAATTCCTGTTTTCGTGGGTTTTATGAGCTGGAAGCCCAAATTATGTAAAAACAAACAAATAAATACTTGGAATCATTTAAATTGTGGGCCCTGAATCTATAATCTATGAAAGTTTAACTGTTTGAATGGAATTATGGAAATTAAACAACTTTTCCATGATATTCTAATTTTTTGGAAAGGGTCTGTAAATTCAGATTCATTAATTTAAATTGCCATGATGTATAATTTTAAATAACTTTAAAAAAAATATATAATTATTTATCAGGGCTCTAGACAGTAAAGAAGTTAATATTTTCAGTGTCACATTTGTACTAGTGCATGATGATTAATATGCTGTTTTGAAGCCCCTCCAACTGGCATGGGTTGCAGCTGGGGTAGTCATAGTGATGGAAATCCACAATTTTTCTGTTTGAGCCCTTCAGTCAGTCTGTCCCTGCCTGGTCTGTAAAACAAGTTATTCAGCTTTTGGGTGGTCCAAAGATCTAGTCTGTAGCAGGGGGTTGACCGATTATCAGCCTGGTTGATTACTGAGGCCAATATAAGGCGCCCATAGCTGGATGCTGCCATCACTATGTTTAACTATTGTTTGCCAGACAAAGTGCATTAAACGGAACGACAGAGTTCGATTGTAGTTTCATCAGACAAGATAATCTTTTCTTCAAGCATTCAGAGTCCATTAATTGCAGATTGGTACACTTGAAGTGGACTATCATCTGCCTTTTTATTAAGAGTGACTTTTGGCTAGCCTCATAAAGGCATGATCAAATGTGACTAAGATGGGCATTCTTCCAGAGTTTTTTCAATCTCTGTAGAGGAATTCTGTTCTGCCTTTCTAAACAGGGCACAGTGTGTGCTGCGCTCACCCGCTGAGTTCAGTGCACTTCGTGGGTGGAGTTGCAGAAAAGTCTCAGAATCTTTAAAACTTCGAGTGGGATGATGTCCCCTAAGCCTTTAAAGTGGGACGCCACCAGTTCGTTGCAGACACACCTCAGCAATAAAGACTCTTCATTTCCATTGACCGTGTGGGCATACTTCATATTGTGTCATCTGAGTACAGAGGCGCGTGAGCTTGCAGACCAGCATGCTGTTTGTGTGCTTAGCTCAATGCAGCTGCAAACTGTTGGGTTCTTTTTCACCTCTCTCACTAAGTCCCTTCAGTCCCTAGGCTATCCACTTGCCATTACTGTATCACAGAGGTCTAAGGCAAGGTCTTTGGACTGCATGGCTTAGTTTTTGTCATTGTGGCCTATTGAAATTGATTGAGATTGACAACCTGATAGAATATGCCTTAAAGCTGATATCTATGTACACGATGGGCACGGTGGGTTCCACTCCTACCTAAAGTTTCAGGTATGCAGTGATGGTAGCACCAAATCTAATGTGGATATCCTCCATGCACTACAGGTCCCTCCAACTAAGGTTTCTCTTTTCTATACTCGCCCAATTTAATTACTGCCCCTGCTTGGCCTGAGCCACTGCTTTCATACACCTAATGACTTCCTCTTGCCAATATATCTGTATACCACTACCAGCTTCCTTCTTTCTTTCGGATTTGCCTTGTTCCACATTGGCCTGCCTTAACTAAGCCCCAGATGCCAATGGCCATGGTGCACGTTTCCTACTTACTCTAAAATGGCTTTCACACAGGAAGCAGTATGCACTGCAAGTTGTGGATTAGCGAGCAAAATAGGCAGAGTTTTTAAAACTTCCAGCGAGGCAACGTCACCATCCTCTCAGGTGAGCAGTTTTTAGTTTGTTACTAACACTTCAACAGTGAAGCTGTATTTGCTCTGTGCTAAGTAGCAAGCATTAGCACAAGCCAAGCATTAGCACTATCCTTGCCAGTATGAAAGCATTCCTCCCCAAGTCTCAATACAACTGCAAAAAAGCCTGATATAATTCAGGGACTTTAGACAAATGCAGCACTGACTTTTTCTACACTTTGTCCTTCATGCCTCCTAGATGCCTTGTCTCTATTGGCTGCGCAATCATACATCATCGGCGCAGGGGTCAAATTTCAACAAATTTGAACTTTGACTGCAGCAAGTGCTCAGCACAGCAGAATGCCATTATTGCACGGCACAAGCAATTAAAATAAATGGGCTTCAGAGCACTGCATCTTGTGTGAAATCTGCTTAAATGCCTAACAGTTGCCTTTGCTTCCTGTATTGCATCTCCTGGATTCCATTTCCTGCCTTTAGTTGGATTTGGAATTAACCTACCAACTACTGTGTCACTCATGGAAACTGTGCTTCTGGTGCACCGCTTCTATGGCAGCAAGTCCACGTAGCTCCATTGTCACATGTGTCTGCAGTTGTTTACTTGCAACGATGTGCATGGCTGGGAGTTAAACATCCCATTCCGGCCAAGTTGAAGAAAGCATACCATAGACTGAGTGCTGGCACCAAGTTCAAGGCTAAGCTTGGGGCTAGAAGGTGGAAATACAAGCCTTTTTTACCCTTGAAACTTATGGGTATCGTCAACTCTTTGACTAGCAAGGGCAAGGACCTCAAGTCACTAGGGAAGACCCGAGTGGCTGTACCGTGAGTGCAGCCTCATGTTTTTTTACAGAGACCTGGCTGAACCTGGCATCCCTGACTCGTGCGTTGATCTACCCGGCTTCACTACGGTACGTGTCCACAGAAACCCTTACAGCGAGTGGAGAGAACAAAAATGGAGGTCTAGTGCTGTTTGCAAACAATAAAGGTTGTAAACCCAGTTACATTATGGTGAGGGAGAAGATCTGCTGTTTGGATACTGAACTTTTGGCAGTCAGTCTTAGACCTCATTATGCACCGAGGGAATTTGTACACATTTTTGCCATTGTAGTTTCAATCCAACCATGCACTGAGGCTGTAGTTGCATGTGATGTCGCTCACGAGAATATTGCAAGGATACAGACTCAGCACCCTGATGCATTCATTGTAGTATCAGATGATTTAACCATGCAGACCTCATCTCTCATCTTACTGACTGTCCCACAAGGGAGAAGAAAACACTTGATCTGCTGTATGCAAATACCAAGGAGGCCTACAGAGCCTCAGCACTTCCACCACTCTGGGTCTGACCCAAATCTGGTCTTTCATCAGCCCCACTACAAACCCCATGTTCTAAGGGAGCCTGCAACCACCTGCTCATTCAGGAAGTGGACCAGTGAGATTATAAAGGACTGCTTCGACTGCATGGACTGGAATGTATGCTACCACCACAGGGAAACAGTATGGACATGGACACTATGACTGACTACACCACAGACTATATCTTCTGCAGGGACACAGTTATTTCTGTAAGGACAGTACAGCGCTTTCCCAATAACAAACCCTGGTTCACCAGCGACATCACGGCACTCCTCAACCAGAAAAAGGAGGACTTCAGGGGTGGAGACATGGAGCAGCTCAAGAGACCCAGCATGAGCTAATGGGGAGTCTGAAGCAGGCCAAGAAGGACTACAAGAGGAAGCTAGACGACAATAGCAGCAGAGAGGTGTGGAGGGTGTAAATCCCACGATATGCCATGGAACAGGGATACTGGTCCAACTCTCGGTTTCTATGGTTA